ACAATAGGCAAAATCCACTGGGGGAAAAAGCGAAACAAGAAGAAATGGAAGGGAAAAAACCTAACTTTTATGGAAGCAAAGAAATGATCATACCTTAACATGCCAAAATGTGAAGAAGATGTGTTAAATGTTGTGAAATAATGCTTAGAGAAAAGTAAGTATAAGAGAAAGCAAGACATACCTTTTTGGATATAAGGAAAGTTAAAGAGGCTCCTTATCGCCTATGACTGAGTCCAGGATAACTTTTTTCTGTTTCTGTTTAGTTCAGAGAGATGGGATATATGAATGTGAACACTTAAGACCTCAGAATGACGGAGGAGATACTGATGAGGGGAGACCATGCTACAGCACTGTTTAAAAATATACAGCTTAACTGAGGGTGGGGAGTTTGATTCTTGACCTAAAGAAGATGGGAAGGTAAATAACAGTCCTCAGGTCAGAAATTAATGTAAAGGCATTTGCTGTGAGCACAATGACATTGTGGATACTAAAACTGAAGGATGATGTACAAAAAGATGGAAGAAATCCCAGGTTTGATGAGAGTGTATTTGAAGTAGCATATCTAAGTCTATTACGGATGCCTGCATGAGATACATAGATAAAAAATGATCTGCTGAGGACCAATCTTAACATAACCAGTATGTGATCTGAGCACAGTCACTCCACCATCAATCAAAAGGGAAAAAGGGTTAAAATATAGAGAAGAAATGAAAGTAGATCATAATGAAAAATTGCCCAGAGGAGGAGAGAGGTCACCAAGATAATTTACATAATCAAAATCTCCTTAAACAAATCCTTTAAAGAAAATATAAAATATTAAAAATTATATGACAAAAGAAGAAAATAGTGAGGAAAAAATTAAGGTATTGCAGAGATGAAATCTATATCTATAGAGTCAACCTAAATAAAGAAGTAAGCTGAGGCAAGCTCTGATTACCAGAGTTTGAGTTTATTCGAGACTAGCAGAGGAATTGCATTTTAGGAAATGCAAACTGTGGCAAGTTACAAGCGAGTCTGCTGAGGGTTCAAGGTGGGCTGTTTTGGGGGTGTGCATGGAATGCAATGGGGAGGAAGTCTAGTCAGAGTCTGTGTTAACTTAATTGGCTTGAGGATGGGGAGAGATCTTTGGTGGGTGTTTATTGATAAGGAGGATAACTTTTGGTCTTCTGTAAATCAGACATTTATGGGAAATCAGTCTCTTTGTTTTCTTGAGGGCCCATGTGTGAGATTCTCCTTTCCATATCCTCTGATTCCTTTTTAGATTGAAATCCTTTCAAAGTAACATATATACTTCAAATTAATTCTCAAATATAAAATTGAACAACTCCCCCCGCCCCGCCCCTGAACTGAGATCTCTAGTTGGTCTTGTGAAAAGGTACAGCTTATCCTTGGGGAAAAGTTAATGCCAACTTTAATTGGTATTTCTAAAAAGTGTAGGTTTTTATTATTCAGGTAAATGAGGCACACAGATCAGGAAGCAGTTTCCATTGAGTAAACAGTCTGTTACTCATAGTTGCCGAGAGAAAGGGTACCTCTTGCCATGCAGGCCCACACACAGGAGCACTAAGGGCCGTCAGGAGGCAGAGGGGACACAGAGAGAATGTGGCAGAGTTTTTATCTTGGTTTCTGTGGGAAGGAATGGGTGAGGCAGGCTAGGCAAGTTAACATTGGTTAATTGAAATAACTTTAGTAGACTCTGGGCTGGAAGGCTGTTCTTGTTACCAAGTCCAAGCTTGCTCTGCTCGCCACATAACAGGCCAATAAAACTGGAGACGAGGTGTTGAGACAAGGAATATGACTATTTGGAAAGCTGGCTGACCAAGAAGATGGCAGACTAATGTCTGAAAATAACCATCCTATTGGGTCTGGATGCAGGTTCTTTTACAGAACAGAGATGGGGGAGTCTAGGAAATAAAGTAAAAAAGCCATTAACTTTGCAAACATCTCCTAGAATAGCAAGCTTTTGGTAGGGGATGTGTTAATTTCTTCCTTCTGTTGCAGGAAGGGGGACCCCTCCCAGGGTCCTGAAGTGGGCTCTTATCTAACACCCAGAAATGAATTGTCTGAAGAGACACACATGCTGACAAAATGAGAGACTTTATTGGGAAGGGGCACCTGGGTAGAGAGCAATAGGGTAAGGGAACCCAGGAGGACTGCTCTGCCATGTGGCTCAAATTTCGGGTTTTATGGTGGTGGGATTAGTTTCTAGGTTGTCTCTGACCAGCCATTCTGACTCAGGGTCCTTCCTGGTGGCACGTGCATTGCTCAGCCAAGATGGATGTCAGCAGGGAGGATTCTGGGAAGTGACAGACACTTGGCATCTCCTTTTGACCTTTCCTGAATTCTTCTGGTTGGTGGTAGCTTGTTAGTTCTGTTTCTCACCAGTACCTTCTGACATAAAATAACTCACACAAAAGGTTACTATGGTGCCTGGCCAGGGTAGGCCGTTCCAGTCAGTAAGTTTCCCCTAGCACTTCCTGAAACCACCCATGGGTGGATGGGGTCCTGAACAAAGACTCTTTGGTTTAATATTCAGTCAGAGGGGCAGGGTTCCCTGAGGCAGGCCGTTATGTATAAACAATGTCCTTTTAATGAACAAAAGCAATGGGAAGCAAAAGTTAAAGAAACAGATCCAATATAAAGTCCACTATTCCCTGTAACACCCCTAGTTGTCTGTTGCCTAGTCTTGGGGTGATGATGTCAGGGGAATCCTGGCCTGACTGTGCGTGCACTGTGAGAGTCACATGAAGGAGGAGGAGGGCTTTGCAATGGTTGGTTTGCAAACGAAAGGCAGAGTTTGGTAGCATTGTTGCTGTTTCTAGAAATTAGTAAATCCTTGAGGAATGTCTTTACCAGTGTCAGCGAGGCCCCAGATGTCAAGGTATCATGAAATACAGAAAACATGATTAATAAAAGGTGCAGGAGTGTTGCAAGAAGGGGGACCCCTTCCAGGGCCAGAAACTGGGCTCTTGTCTAACACTCGGAAATGAATTGTCCGAGGAGACATGTCTCCTGTTGACCTTCCCCAAACTCTTCTGGTTGGTGGTGGCTTATTAGTTCTGTGTTCCTTATCAGGACCTCCGGTCATAAAACAGCTCATGCAAATGGTTACTGTGGTGCCTGGCCAGGGTGGGCAGTTCCAGTCAGTGTGCTTCCTCTAACAGTAGGAAGGCTCTTCAGGTCACGTCAGTTGCTCAGTTGTGTCCGACTCTTTGTGACCCCCGTGGACTGCAGCCTTCCAGGCTCTTCTGTCCTCCATTAACTCCCAGAGTTTGCTCAAATGCACGTCCACTGGGTGGTGAAAGGGCCATTTCTGCGCCACCAGAGGCTGTGCCCCCAAACACCAGTTTCTACCACACTCCCTTCCAGCCTCCCCGGCTGCTACCAGATCTTCCATATGTCTCCTCCCCTTGAGCAGGAAGAGGCCATTCTTTGAAGGATGAACAGAGGAGGTCTCCTCAGCTTAGCTGTCCAAGGTCCCCTCCCACTCAAGGGGCTTATAAAACCAAGATTCCCCAACACCTGAAATAACATATATCTATAGTAAGACCTTCAACTTTGTCTCCGGTACTCAAGCCAGAAATGCATCATGGAGTTTAACGTGGTTTCTGAAATAAACCACATGTAGTGAAACTTACAGGATTGACAAGTTTTACTACTTTTCAGAATTATTTCCTACCAACCAGTAAGGAAACACTTCCACAGCATTAACTGCAGCTATCTCAGTGTGCACTGGCTGCATATGAGCCCTGCTCACAACAGAGTGTGACACCATCTTTACAGAGCTCAAACACATGGAAAGCTCCTCAGGTTTAGAAAAGAAAAAAAAAAAAAAAAAAACCCAATGTGGTAAAANACCAGAGAAGTATGAAGTAACTATTCACTATGTTTTCGTTCAGATACTTGTCACCTGAGTAAAAAAACAAATTCTGTTACCGTTCAGCAGGGGGCTAGTGTTATTTGAGAATAGATATCAGTGACTTAAAGGAAGGCATTGGGAATGTGTCTCATTAAAATCACAAATGGCATCATGTTGGATGTGAGGACGTACAGTCTGTAACACAGAAATAAGATTCAGAATTTCCTTTTTAAATTGGAGAAATGAAATGAACTGTCAAAATAGAATGAAACTGAAGAGGGACACAGTTGGCTCATTGACTGCGCACTTCCATCATTAAAGTTTCTCATCTGAAAAACGGACATAAAAGCTGTAAACAAAGGACAAAATCCCTGGTCACAGCGTTGTTACCAGCAGCATGAGAGTTTTTGGTATAAAGTCTGTACGCGCTTGACTTACTTCTAAATGCCATGTGCATGAAATTCTTCTAAAACTCCACAGAGTTAAGTTTAAACTATTTAATTTTTGTTGAAGATAAAAACCTCTGTGTTTTCAACAACTTTACAAAGCTTTTTAGATAATTAGCACTTTTACTTTTAAGTCTCTGCATTTGTTTTGGAGAGAGACAAAGATACTTCAAATGTCTAAAACATTTGATAGCAAACACTTGCCTTTTCACGTAGCCAAGTGCACTCTGAATATACTTAGACAAAACCTCAATTCCATCTATAGGCGTATCTCAGAGATGTTGCTTCCCTGGAGGCTCAGACAGTAAAGAATCCGCTTGCAATGCAGAAGACCCAGGTTCCATCCCTGGGTTTAGAAGTTCCCCTGAGAAGGGAATGGCAACCCACTTCAGTATTCTTGTCTGGAGAATCCCAGGGACAGAGAAGCCTGGTGGGCTACAGTCCATGGTGTTGCAGGATTAGACCGAACTGAGCCACTAACTCTTAATTTCCTTTAAGAATGTGTATTTGCTTTCACAACTTGGCTAACTGGTGCAAGAGGCCTAACTTTCAGCCTATCTTGGCATTCAACATGCCTTTCTCATTCAGCTTAATTCTGGCTTTAAGTGAGAGACATGTGACTCTTCTTTCACTTGGACACTTAGAGGTAACTGTAGGGTTATTAATTAGCCTGATTTCATGTTCTTGTGTTCCAGGGACTAGGGAGGCCTGAGGAGAGGACAAAAGACAAGGAATGGCCAGTCAGTGGAGCAGTAAGAACACACACAACATTTATCAGGTAGGTTTGTGTCTTACAAAGGCACAGTTCATGGTACCCCCAAAACAATTATGATAGTGACATCAAAGGTCACAGATTACCATTATAAGTACAATGATAACGAAAAAGTTTGAAATATTGAGACAGTTACCTGGGTTTGACACAGAGACATGAAGTGAGCAAATGTTGTTGGAAAAATGATGTTGATAAACTTGCTTGACACAGGGCTGCCACAAACCCTCAATTGGTAAAAAGTGCAATATCTGCAAAGCACTATACATCAAAGTGCAATAAAATATTCCTGTATTTATTCTGAGATCAAGCCAATAAACTAATGTTTACAGGAACATTGGGAGTCCTTCCTTAAGAAGGATTTGATAGAATATAAATATATGCCACATTGTACAGGATATATATTTCCATGTCCATTTTAACCATGGGTCTTAATGATCATTTATGTTGCTTAAGCAACTTTCAAAGGTTATCTCATTTACTCATGTTGAAATTAAGTAAGGAAGACAAGGTTGGTATAATGTTTGCTTAAAAATATGGAATTTGTCTTCTCTGCATGAGCTGTTTCACTTGGCCTGATACCCTCCAGACCTGTCCGTGTTGTTGCAAGTGGCATGATTTCATTTTCTCTTAATGACTGAGTGGTATTCCAGTGTATATACATACTGCATGCTCTTTATTTCTGTTGGTGGACATTTAGGTTGCTTCCATATCCTGGCTATTTTAAATAATGCTGTGATGAACACAGGAGGACATATATCTCTTTGAATTTGGTTTTCTATTTTCTTCAGATCACTACCCTGGTGTGCAACTGCTGGATCTTATGGTAGTTCTATTTTTAACTTTCTGAGGACTCTTTATGCTGCTTTCTTCAGTGGCTGTACCAATTTACATTTCCAGCAGGTGTGAGGGTTTCTTTCTTTCCACCACCTCAGCAACATTGGCTATTTGTTGTCTTTTTGATTGTCATTCTGACAGGTGTGAGGTGATACCTCATTGTGGTTTTGATTTGCATTTTCCCGAGAATTACTAAGCTGTGTGGTGACACGCACAGAGAGATGTGAAGAATACTCACCGAAAACGTTGATAGTGATGATGAAGTAAAATTTATATTTTAAGATAGGACAGGAAAAAAAATTAAACATGAAATTCTCTCTCTGTGTTTCTTTGGGCCTTCCCCCTCCCTAATGTGCAGTGTGCATCTGCTTTACATGTTAACCAGAGTCCCTCAAAGATGAGAGTGCCTGCTCAACCATAAAAATATTTTTTTCTTTCTTCTGATGCTAGCAATGTAACTTCTTAAAAATAATAATGTTCTTTCTCAGCTCTGTAAGGGGTCATGGTGACTTGCTGCTCACTTTGTGTATGCTTACCTGGACTATGTATCTTTGGTGACCTTTATGTAAAATATCAAGATGTCATTTTGATGTATGATCCTTTGTGTTAAAATGTGTGTGACTATGCCTTAGACTTCTAACAGGTGGGCCAGTTCTCAGAGCTTTCTGAAAATCTGCTTCCCGGGCTATAAGCCTCAGTTGGGCTTGAATAAAATTCCTGGTTGTTTTTTTTTTCTTAAAAAAAAAAAAAAAGGTTTGCATACAATCTCCAAGCTCTTAGTACCCGGCTAAGAACTTCGTATTTATTTTTGGCCAAGCGGAATCTTAGTTCCTGANCCAGGCTCCTCTGTCCATGGGATTTTCCAGGCAAGAGTACTGGAGTGGGGTGCCATTGCCTTCTCCAAAAAAGGAGCACTAGGTAAATAGAATGAGACTGAGCATGCGTTTGCCACCAAATGGATAGATGGATATCTTGATATTCTTTGGCTTTTAGCATTTGCTAGTATTGATTTCCTTTATGGTTATTTCTAAAATGTGTAATAATTCAGTACCTTCTAGTCATTTTTCCTTTCTTCCAGGATCCTTCCCATCGCAGGTATGCACCTCAGCTTTGTCATTTATGTAAACATTTAGAGAATACCACACACACAGTGAGAATGTAATAAACACCAGCACTTAATGTTATTATTGTTAGTATTAATTCAACCCATACTTGTTGAATATATATGATAGTTCTGTTGCATGTCACATTTGAAAAGGGAGAAGCATACAACACAGATGATTGTCTATAGAGATCTTATACTCTAACAAGGATACAAAGGAATCTCTTCAAAATCCAGTTCTCCCATCATGCTACAACAGCTGTTTGTTTTTTAAATAAGATAAACTCTGAAGCATTGACATTACCTAGTCTTCTGTGATCTGACATTTCCCGATAGATTCAGCCTTATAATAATGCTTCATGCTCAGTTGTGTCTGACTCTGTGTGACCCCATGGACTGTAGCCCACCAAGACCATCTGTCCATGGGATTTTCCAGGCAAGAGTACTGGAGTGGGTTGCCATTTCCTTCTCCAGGGGATCTTTCTGACCCAGGGATCGAACCCATGTCTCCTGCATTGCAAGCGAATTCTTTACCACTGAGCCACCTGAGAAGCCCAGTTTCAGCCTGACTACTTGCCATTTACTTCTTTTAACTTTTCGAAGCACCCGTGTCTTGTGATTCCTCTGTCCTGTCTGCACATTAATCTTGCAGAAGCTCCTTTCTCTCCTTTGTGTGTAATATTTTCCTTACTTAGGATTTTCTGAAGACAACATAAAACTGGCTAATCAATGTGTATTCTTTAAGATTTGGCTCAAAGCCCACCTTTTCTATATAGCCCTCTCTGATCTTTTCTCAAATTCTGACCTTAGGATGTGTGTTATTTCTGAGTCTGACACATTGGTGTATAACTGTAGCTCTTAACTGGGTGCCATCTTTCTCCATAGGGTACATTTGGCAAAGCCTGGAAACATTTTAGTTGCCATAATGGGGTGATGCTCCTGCATCCAGTGGGTGTAGGCCACGGAGAGTGATAAAAGTCCTGTGATGCTCAGAACAGCCTCCCCCAGCAAAGAGTTGACTGGTCCCACATGGCGGGAGTGCTGAGGTTCTAGACCTTATGTTGATGATTCTCCTCAGCCACTAGGTTATGATCTTCCCTTCTGTTTTATCTCTATGTTCTCAGCATTCAGTCTAAAGCCTGCAGCAAGTTCATTAGATATTTCCTAAATACATGAAAGAAGGAGGGGATTAAAAGTATGCATGGATATACAAATGATTATTGTCCAATAAAAAAGACATTGGCAGTATTCTGACCAATAACAGTACCTCCTGATTGGGGAATTAAACTGTTGAAATGGGATGTTAGATGACAGAAGGAACACTGGTATGGGACAGAGAAATCACAGTAATTGAGGATTAAGATTTTAATAACAGAAGAGGAAAATTAAGAGAAAATATCAGAGATTCATATGTACAGCGACATTTTCAACAGATTAAATCTTTTAGTAGATGGAAAAAAGTGTTAGAATAATTTTTATTACTGTAGCCAACCAAGATTAATGGTGTGTATAGTTACAATAGGGGCTTCCTTGGTGGCTCAGTTGGTAAAGAATCTGCCTGCAATGCAGGAGACCCTGGTTCAAGTCCTGAGTGGGGAATATCTCCTGGAGGAGGGATAGGCTACCCACTCCAGCATTCTTGGGCTTCCTTGGTGGTTCAGCTGGTAAAGAAGTGAACAGCTACTCACTCCAGTATTCTAGCCTGGAGAATTCCATGGACTGTATAGCCCATGGGGTCGCAAAGAGTTGGACATGACTGAGTGACTTTCACTTTCACTGTATAGTTACAATGAATGAGATTATTTATACTTTTATTAAAATTAGAACTAATGTAATGTATCTGAATACTAACACAACATTGATTATTTAAGATGTGCTGTCTCAATCTTTCTCACTCTTTATTCCAGGTATAAAATTCTGTGTAAGTGAATGCTTCTTTTTTGTGATATTAGTTGATGGTAGGTTAAAGAATTCTTATAACATAAGAGCTACTTTAAACTTCCAAACTAAAATTAAATGGAAATAGTTTTGAAGTTTAAAATACTTCTTTAAATTTTTATGCCTTTTTGAAGTGTATTATTTCAATCAACATCAGCCAAGAAAGCACTGCATTACTATCAAATACAGCTCTTGAAATACTTCCAAGTTATGTAGGAAAAAAATCCTTCCAAACTGAAATGGCTGCCAATCTCACAGGAGACTAGAAGGAAAAGAGAGTTAAAAAGCTATCAGAAAATGGAGAATCTGAGACCCTGGATTTCCTTCAGTTCAGTTCAGTCGCTCAGTCGTGTCTTGACTCTGCGATCCCATGGACTGCAGCATGCCAGGCCTCCCTGTCCATCACCAACTTCCGGTGTTTACTCAAACTCATGTCCATTGAGTCGGTGATGTCATCCAACCATCTCATCCTCTGTTGCCCCCTTCTCCTCCTGCCTTCAATCTTTCTCAGCATTAGGGACTTTTCCAATGAGTCAGTTCTTCACATCAGGTGGCCAAAGTATTGGAGTTTCAAGTTCAACATCAGTCCTTCCAGTGAATATTCAGGACTGATTTCCTTTAGGATGGACTNAAGCAGGGTGACAATCTACAGCCTTGACGTACTCCTTTTCCTATTTGGAAGCAGTCTGTTGTTCCATGTCCAGTTCTAACTGTTGCTTCCTGACCTGCATACGGATTTCTCAGGAGGCAGGTCAGGTGGTCTGGTATTCCCATCTCTTTCAGAATTTTCCACAGTTTATTGTGACCCTCACACTCCCTTAAATATCATAAACATGACTTCTAATATCACATTTTCTTTAAAAAGTTTAAATGAAAGTATAATGAGAATTTCCTACTTCTGCTTGTAGGTATTTAGGAAAGCTCATTTTATTGATATACCTCCATAAAATCCCGTCCCAGGATTGAAGATATTTCTCCTCCCTGCCTTCCAGTTTCCTCTAATATACCTTTCCCTCACATTCTTTTTTAACTTTTAAAAAATATTTGTGAAGTTTTTGCATGTGATAGATGCATAGTTAGGTATATAGATAGGTATAACATAGATAGGTATAACTGACATATCACTTGTATT